AATTGTGAAATGGTGAGAATATAATGTTTCCCAGAGGAGAGCCAGAGACCGGACAAATGCCTCAGGGGCCTACTAGAAAAGCAACTGTATTTGATTCTCTTAGTAAACACATTTCAATAATGTAAGCAGCTCTGGCTCTTCACAAACAGCTACACACAGTGTCGTGCTTACTTTGCAATTAACACCACACACAAAACTCTCAAACTCTGAGAAATGTAGGAAATTGCTGAGCAAGAAATTTGAGAACATATTAAGAAAAAAAATACTTATGTCCATCCATTATCTTTTTCTGAGGTTGATTTAATTTGCACTGAACTCTCAGCATCTTTGACCGCACAGTTTTTTATTTCAGTGGCAGCATGGCTAGGGTAATGGCGCTGATTACATCTGTTCAGGTTAGTTGAAGAGGAGCCTGGGAGATGGCAATGTTGACGACTTGGAATAACAGAGCAGTGATACAGTGTGAATCACAGTAGAACGGTAACACTAAACTCCATTGAGACCTTCCTCTCTCTGAGCCTCAGCTGCTGCAGCCAAAACTACACCCAGCAGCACAACACCTCCCCCTTCTAAACCAACCCTCACCGCCACTGCACCACAACTCAACCTACAACCTACACACAACTCCTCCATCAGGGAAGACTGAGCCTGTGCTGCAGCCAGCTCCTCAGCTGCAGCCATGATACTATTACTAGCTATTACATATCTTATTAACAGAGGTGGGGTAGATGTTTGGGGTGGGTGGTGAGGGTAAAACAAAACCAAAAAAGAATAAGCGATTCATTAACTATTTACTGGGAAAAGTCAGGATGATTGACCCCTTCCCAACATGCAGCCATCTTGGAGAGACTTGACTTTCCTTCCACATGATGATTCCAGCAAAGGAGCCAACAAAGATTAAAATGTAACTTCACTCCTAAGTTTTGAGTGAAGCACAAGCACAAGCAAACACTCTCACACACACACACGCACACATGCACGCACGCACACACAATTTAACTTGCTAGAGCTAAGTTGTCTTGGTTGTCTTGGACTCAAGAAGCAGCACACACACTTTTATATTAAGGGCCTCTCGCCTTCGGAGTTCTCTGACTGCCAAGATCACGATTTTCCAGAGCAGCTTGAACCATTGGCACAAGTCGTTGTCTCAGGCTACATCCATACTGCTTCACGATATCTTATGTTTTCATATCTCTGTCCACCCAAGGGTTTTATATTGGTTTTAATCCCCGTCCATACCTGACCATGCATATACACTGGATATTTGCTTGCAAGTCTACACATATTGCTCAAAGAATAGCTCATCTTCTCTGCATGTAGACAGTTGTATCTTACTAAAAGGCAAAATTGAACTGCACAATAGCTGTTAGCAAAACAAACAGGGTCAGCAACACTTATAATCAATCATCCATGTTGCGTTCTACATTGGGATTGAAGGCTAAAGAGGATAATGCTGGTTGTTTTCTTCAGGAAAAGGGTCATGTGATAGGAGCCTGACGAATCAGCAAAGACTACGTCATGACAGAAAAGACCCAATCAGCAAGCAGTTGTGAGTGTCTATGTCATCATTTCCTAACATGTCAGATTCTTCCTGTGAACTGGAGTTTTCTAACTAAAATGGGGCCAGCAGCACATTCCTAACTTCTCTGCTTTAGTGGCTCCAAAACTCCGGAATGTGAACGCCAGGCGTATTTCAAATGAAAATGTAGTAGTAAGGATGTAGCCTCAGTCAACAGTTCAGACAGTGTGTGTATGAGAAAGCTATGGGGCAGAACAGGTGGACGACGTGATGGTTTAGTGGTTAAGTTTCAACATAGATTTGAAAATAAACGCAGATATCCCAAACAGTTGATTCTATGTGAGCATTGGCCCTGAAAGGTCCAAGACACACTTTTTAAACACTGGGTGGCTTTATGAGCAATGTTTGACAAATAGAAATAAGATTTTTTTTTAAATTTAAAAGCAGCCCTAATGTATTTCATCAAAGAACATAAAATTTGATTTACAGCTTAAAAAAACACATTTATGTGTTTAGTATCTCTTTAAAAATGTTGAGAACACACTGGTAGAGGCAGGAGCAAGAACTGAAGAACAGAACAAACAAAAGAGATGCATGAGGTGAAACAGATGGTGCAACGAGTGAGCGATGATTTACTACACGATACAAGTGGTTAAACATAAATCCATCATCGGCACTGCAGCGGACGCAGTCATAAGTCTTTTAAAACATCTTGCAAACTGAATAGCTCCACTATAAATGAAACCCAGTTTCTCTCTCACGGAGTAATGGCATCAGCTCAGACGTGTTTTACTGTTCCATGTCATAAAAAGCAGGAGCTTGAAAATTGCGAAAATTGCAAAATGCTTCTGTATCATTTGTGGCAGATCCAATTATTTTCCCAGGCAGAGGACAAGCAAAAGTGCAGGTAGTTCAATGTTTTCATGCAGTTTCAGCCTTAAATTTAGTTTTGCCACAGGCCCCACTTTAATGAGAAAATACTCTTCTCCACTGTCATGATGGGACCAGCCAGAGAAAGGGCAGTGACTTCTTTCAACTCCCAAACCTGCTGAAGAAACGCTGATCTGGAGCGTTTGAAGTGCTCACAGAGATTTTATAAGAAATCTTTAACATGACTGCAATGTCACGGCTTGTCTGTCTGATAGACCACTCTTCCAGCCCTTCTGTAATTTAGAATAACACACAAGATCCGAGCCTACAAACACTCTTTTTTCTGATAATCTCCACGGGTAACGTTCCAAAACCAATGTGTTTTCAAGTCGAATACAAATATTTAAATAGCTCTTTCCATACATAACTTAACTGTCAATCCCTAAACTGAAACATCCACCGCAAGCTTTGGACAGGGACAAGAAAAAAAAAGATGTGGTGTGGAAATTGAGCCTGCTAATGTGCACATGTTGGCTAACGCAACACAGAGGAGATCCATCAAGCGCTCTGGTCACTGGCTAAAGAGCAAAGTGTGAGATCTGCACGTACGAGGTGCCGTGGCAGAGGGAAGCACGACCAACCTCTCTGACTGTCGACCTGGTGGAGGGAAAATGGCCAGAAGATGCAAAGAGATGCCAACATAAGCCTCGAACTTCTTACATGTTGTGTCAGTCTCCGGACTATTACAAGTTTCCACTGATGGATGCGTAGCACCGGTCCAAATAAAAAAGACTGAATTGACCACTGAGTTTAAATGGCAGCTTGGGGAATGCATCAATCAGAAACTATGTGCTTTCATACTAACCCCACATAACAAATTGATTTTAGCCTTGGACAATATTTTTTAAAGGAATTTTTGCCTTTATTTTACAGTCAGTGGAGAGAGACGGGAAAGGAGGGAGAGTAGAGAGAGAGAGAAAGACAAAGAGAGAGAGAGAGAAGGAAAGAGGGAGAGAGAAGGAGAGAGGGGATAAAATGCAGAAAAGGCCCAGGAGTCAAACACAGACTATACAGATGGTATAGGGTACAGTCTTAGGCTACATCCATACTACCCAACTGAGTTTCTGTTCGAAAGCAGCGATATAAAACTAAAATGAACACTTTCTACATGAGCGTTTTGGGTCTGCATCTGTTTTAACCGTTTTATCAGGCGGGGTGGTACTGAGCCATCAGACCAGACCCAGGGACGCTGGGACAGCTCCACTGCCCTGGCCAGAGTGCACACAGTCCGAACACAGCAACACCAAGCCCGGGTCAGACACTCAAGGAGCCACGGTCGGAGTGGGACTCAATTTCAGCCGAGGAGTTTCATACCTCAGACCAGCCCACTGACGTATTATATCTGTCACTATAATATATACGCTTGGTGGTTTTGGTGGAGTTCTTTTTGTTTCAAATCAGAAAACAAACTGCCTGTGCTGCCTCTTCATTCAAATGATAAAAGGAATTGGCAAAATCCAGAGAAGGGGAGTTTTGGATTGCTTTTTGTTTTGTAACAAATCACAGATTTAAATTTTTTTCGTTATGCAGTTGTATATGAGTTACGAATTCTCCGATGACACCCAGACGTGGATGCCAGGCATGTCTGTAGCAGGGGTGATGCGTTTTCACGTGAAAAACACAGTAGTGTGGATGTAGCCTTAACTTGAAGAGCTTCTGGTGCTCCTCGAGCTATGGACAATCTGAATCTGGTTGTATGGCCATGTTTTTTTTCAGGTCTTTCAGGCATGTCTGCCGCTTTAGTGCCCACCCTGCAGGGTTCATGTTACACCTGACAACTATGGCTCATCAAATGTTTGTCAATAACAATGGCGCCCCCTGTTGCATAGCTGCTGTAATCAGCTTTATTACTGCACCGTGCTAAACCCAACGATGCACAGTGTCGACTAGTGGTTTGACAGTCGCCTAGTCTCTGAAACCCCTACTGTACATTGTCAGCATAGACACACAGTCAATGATATCCTCCAAATAGGAGAACATGCAGCACAGAACACACACACACACACACACAGTGTATATGGCCATGACAATGCCAAGGGCATTGTTTGTTCTCCACATACTCCAGAGTCATGCTCTGTGGCTCTGTAGTGCTTCAATACATCAATTTCCAAACTGTGCACAGTGTGGCCCCCCAAAGATAGAAAAGGCGATATCAAGGATATAGCTGCATGTGTCTGTCCTCAACGAGCCGTGTGTCCTGTGCCAAGGCCTTCCAGTTTCTATTCCCTGGCCTTTAATGGCTTCTGCAGCGCCTCACAGCCAACTCACCAGACTGAGTCCTTTTCGCTAACGGAGAACAACAAGGACTCTGGTGGGAAGTGACACCTCTGGACATGCTGTTTAACCACGGCTAAAATGAATGGGTGAAAAGGCCCCATTAGTGGCAGGACTTTTTCTATTTGCGTCATTTATAAGGTGTGTGTAGGCGAGTGACAGAGATCAGGGAGCTGGTTCCTGCGTGTGTGTGTGTGTGCGTGTGTTTTCCTGTCAGCTGTTTATCATTATTGTTATTACTAGCGGGGTCTGTTTTTTTTCTCTGGACAGTGCTAACCTGTGATCCTCGGGAGCCTCTCTTGTGGTCCCAATCTGAGCGGGGAAGCATCTGTGAGAAAACAGAGACACAAACATGTTCAAACCGCAGTCCTGCACATCCTGTTTGTGTCCATACAACAGAGGCAACACCATCATGAAGCTATACACTGAGCATCAAAGGGGGAGGAGCAGGGGTGGTGATGCAAAGAGCTGAGGCAGTGTGGGGGAATGGAAATGCTTATAAATGCAAAAAAAACATCTTTTTGGTTTTGTCTGTTTTTTTCCCCCACTTTCCATTAAGCACAGACATCTAATGCAATTTCATGTTCAGGTTTGGTTTACTTCAGCTTCAATTCTCTGCCCGAGGGCCTGGTAGAGGCAGAATTTTTACGCTGCCTAATTATGAGCCACTGTGTCCTCCCACAGGCCTTTTAAACCCGTTTTCCACTTTCTTGGGGAATCACTAAATGCATCGGCTCTGCACTGATTTTCAGTGAACACTTTGCAGGAGAGCCAAGTCAACATTACACCCTCCTCCTCTCCTGCCTCTGTTAGGGCTCTCTGCCCCAGAACTGGGGAGCCCGGCATGTCGCTGTGACAAATTGCTGCTGCACACACTCAGGCAATCGGCTCTGGATAAGAGCCAAATTGATAATTCAGGTGTAATTTACTGAGTTGGTGGAGGTCACCGAGTTGTGTCACACTGAGTGAACACGTTAGCAAACCAGTGGGTTTCAGTCGTCTGGGTTATGGCCTGTGTCGACGTCAGAGTTGTTTGTGGAGGGTTTTCCCACAGTGCTGCTTCAGTCTAAATAAACACAATACTGGAGTCACTGCTCCTGTTGCCTTATTATAATACAAAAATCAACTCTCGAGTTATCCACTCAGAGTCCTTTAGTCTCTTTTCTTTTATTTCATAGTTTCACATTACATCTTTTTATTGCTCCCCTCACCCCCTGGAATTTTTGGTGAGCAACACTTATTATTTATTTTGATTTATTATAAGTTTAGTCTATAACTGACCAGACACACTGGTAGTGATATGTGTACATTGTTAGTTGTTGTTTACCCTCTAGCTATATGTCTAACAAAACAGTTTCATGTGCTAAAGTTGTCTGGCTCCAATTCAGTGTAGTGCAAGTTAAACTTAAGCAAATTTCCCTGAAAACTTGAAGTAAAGTTTTCATGAGAAACCAAAATAAGATTGGCTCACGCTACATAGGCGGAACATGTTTGCTTCAACACTCTCAAAGTAGCTAAATGAGAGCTTCTCTTGGGAGTTTGAGGTCGGCTATTTCATTAATTCAGAAAAACAAGAGCAGTGTTTTTTCTCATGTGATTATAAACTCATTCCGTTAAAGCTTTGGTATTATTTCTGAACAGAACTCTCAAAATCTCAAACACTAATTTACAACAAACAACTCTCACAGCTGTCATCACATTTTGAGTCAAATAATATGAACATTTTGCTCAATCTTGAATTTTTTTTTTTATATCTGAGCACCAGTGACTCCAAACTGAGAGAAAACAGAGACAAAAATCTTTAATGTGAAACAATCAAACTGTTCAGACATTGATTGAAAGGCCTTAAGCGATGACTTTTACTGTAAATCGAGTTTGTATTCACAGCATTCCTGTGTTTTGAATTATTGCTGAGGACTCTTCAGTTTTTACATTTGACATATTTAGCGGGACAGGATACACATTCTGCTCTGTTGGCCACTTTGTGTAATAGTTATTGTGCACCTCATCCCTTGGTCAAGGTTCTGGCAACAATGGGTTGTGCTCCACAAAAATGTTCACCTTGACAATAAGCCAACAAGTTCACTTACGGAGCAATCACACACAATGCAGTGCACGCCCGTTAATAAAGTACAACCGCCTTCCCATAGTTTGACATTTAGGAGGTTGTAAAAAAAATGTAATATGAGGGGTTTGCCCTTTCATGACAAACAGCTTCATTCCCTCATCCTCCATTTTCTATCCTGAGCACCACAGCTATAGAGAGCCTGCAGTCTGTGTTCATCAGCATGATAATATCTGTGAGTCACTTTAAAGCTCTGTCAGGCGTGTGCGTACCTTCTCATGCATTACAACCACCATGCAAGATGGAATTGGAAGTCATCAAGCAATCATCTACATAAAAGGCTCATGTATGAGATGTAAATTATTGTAAATGATAGTATTAGCTAGGGAGTGAGATGTTTGGTCTTCTCCTGCATGTCTCTGATGGCAGGGCTTTGCTATTACAGTATAGGAGCTGGCAGTGGGCTCGTCCATGGTCGCAGAGGAGTCCTGTTCTATTACAAGGTTCTAGTATCAGTGAGGCTCTCCAGGCGCACACGCACATAAACAGCCTTTTGGTCTAACGGTCTTATGTAACCCAACCTTTCATCTGCATGCTCTGAGAGACAGACCCAGACTACATAGACGTCTACAAGGACCCTTTGATGAACAAAACAAAAAACCCTCACAAAATCAAAGCTGGGCATAAAATCTGAGTGGCGCAGATAGACTCTTGTACCGAGTGACTTTACAGGCGCAATGGAGTTAATCTCCTCTGAGAAATTGACTAAAAGCAACAAATACATGTGAATGATGTACTGCTCACTTACTGAATCAAACAGTGGTTGCAGTCTGGTGCCACTGTGACCAAATGTGTTTTTCTTTTGTTAATCCATGTGGGACAATCAGTAAACAAAATTTGAAAGTTTGGTTTCAGTGATTTCCAACTTCAAACCACCAGCGTTAGTTATAAACAAGAAATGGCAAACATCATTTTTTTCCAAGGTGGAAAAGCAACATCTTTCAAGAGGGTCGAAAAGACAAAGAAAGAGACAAGAATGTAAATCATAATGCTTACCTCTGCTAAAACCAACCAATCTGATTTCATTCATTCTATTTATTATTTCCTGAGAAATTGACAAAAATATGGGAGAATGCCACAACCATAAAATTACCAGTAAGGCTCATTTAACTGGATCCCCACTAAAATGCAATGGGTTCTTCTCTGGCCAATGCTCTATCCCATCAATCTGTCTCTCTTTCCGTCCATCTGTTCTGTCCGCTTATCCTTGAATGGCCACGTGGGGGTTAGCTGGAGCCAATCCCGGCTGACATTGGATAAGAGGTGGGGTACACCGTGGACAGGTCGCCAGTGTATCACAGGACCAAAAATGGTCACACATTTAAAAATAAATACTAGCTTATGTTGTATCAATCTCATTTACACACCAAAACTTTTGTCCCTCATTAAAGTTTTCAGAACAGGTTTGATTTGTTGCATTTTTTACATCCGTCAAAGGCCTTCCAGACAGTTGATTGACTTGTTCAGGGTCAATCATCATACTAAACTGGACTACTGACACCCTGGAATTGACTTGGAAGCAATCAAGATAATTTTGTAGCACTTTGATCAGAGATGAAATTCTTCTTGTTCCCAACGGCTGATCAGGTTTGGATGGACCAACTGTTTTCTTTTTTTAAGAATTGAGAGGACCAAAAAAATCATCCTCACTGTTCCACACAATCTCCTATAGCAAACTTTCAGAACGAATAGAATAATAATATTGATCACACTCAGTGTGTGAGGTTTCTTTGCGTGACAATTCAAAGCGGATTTCAAAAAGCATACGAAAAAACGAAAAACATGGACTTGATGTGGAAAAAGTCTCCCATTAACCTAACCCCGATCTGGATGTCTTTGGACTGTGGCAGGAAGCCACACAGAGACAGGGAGAGGTAACAAATCTCAAAGATGCTAAAAATGTGTATATCACTGTCACACAAATATGACAATAGAGAGGAGGCTTTACATGTCCTGTCCAAGTCAGTTAAGCCTGTACATGCACTAATGATGAAGAACAAGAAAAACAAAAACAGAAGGTCTCGTTCAATCTTTATCACCATGTTTTGCTCCAGGAGGACTGAGAAGAGCCGTCTAAGATTCTCCTTAAAACATTTGACAGCTCACTGCCAATATTATGTCTGAAGAGGTAAAACCACACAAGAATGATTTCTTAGATATCTCCGGGTTTTTCATGGACAGCCTCCAGGCAGTATAACGCAGTGGAAGCAGTGAAGTTTCCAAATGGATTTGTTTTTGTCCTAAAGCTCCCAGTGCACCTACTGGGGAAAATAACAACTTTGTAGAAGTTATGCCCTTTGTTTCACCCTCTGCTAGATTCATGATGCTGCCCCGTAACTCAGAATAAGCCAGATGTAGTAGTGGCTCTCCATCACTCCATCAGCAGTACTTTACATGAGACTGAAACTAGTCTTCAGGAGCAGAAAAATGCGTTGTGCCTTTCAAAATGGAAGTATGTCTTTCAATCACAGAGCTACAGACACCAGAGGAACACGATACACTCTGTGAGGTCTGAGGCTTTTTTATGAGACTTTGGCTCCATTGTGAGTGTGTTATGGGGATTTACTGCACTTAAACCAGAGTGATGCCCTCAAGAGACAAACAGCAGAAGGAAGAGCTTGTGCTAGTTAGTAACATTAGTCAGTAGCAGCTGTAGGTTAACAGAAGGCACAGATCTTTCAACATAATACATCGGAAACTAGACAGGAGAGTGCATCTCTCCACCAAGCCCAAACGCTCCCTTTAATTTATCAAGCTGCACCAAATTGAACACACTCATAGATATCAGTTCCCTGCATATGCCAGATTTTTTTTACATCAAGACCCATGAGTTATTCCATTGGAAATCTTTGAAAATGTCCAAAAACACTCTCCCATGATGCTAAAAAAGTTATATAAAAAATAAAAAGAAATCCCAGATCTGGATTGCAACCAAAAATTATTGGATTCTTCCCCCACTCATACCACATCCTTCCACCAAGTTTCAATTTAATCAGCCCAGTATTTATTGTCTCTCAATCTCAAACCAACAAACGGACAGGGATGAAAAACATATCCTACTCGATGGTGGTAATGAGTAGTTAACACATCTCTACCAGTCTTCATGTGTCTATATTTACATACAAGATATGATGATTTTGGCATTGTCAATGGTAAGACTTGTATTTATAAATATATTTTTGGTCAGTAACTTAATAAATCAG